GAGAACTTCCGCTTGAGCTTTCCTTTTCCCACTCTTGCGATTTTTCTTCTTGCTTGACTCGGGTGCGTCCTTTGCTGGTTTCTTCTCTCCTCCGGTCTTCGGTTTGTCGTTCTTGCGTCTCAGTGCGTCGTCCGCATGAGCGCATCGATCGACAATTTCGAATAATCTCCGAGTAGTCATGACGCGCCTCGTTGCCAACTCCTAAGTAGTATAGCGATCTCTGACACCGGACTTGAAAGCGCGAATTACAGAAGCGTCGGTGATTTCAGGGATTGTATTTCTGCACTCGTTAAAGCGCCAAACATAATCCCTCAAGGATTCACCCGGGTTCTGTGTCAACGCATGTAGGTCGTCTTCGATCGCGTGGCGCTTGTACGTTCCTTGGAAGTTGGCAACGAACTGCTGCCACAGGTCTGCCCACAAAGAAATCGAGTAAGGGGGAGATGCATCAGCCATGAACGTGCAGAGCCTTTCAATGCAGTTGGCAAGTAATTCGCCAATGCGTTGTCGTCCGCTCCGGCAGCGTAGAGTACCGTGGAGTAGACCTGAAGGAATTCTTCTAGGTCGGTGCTCCCATCGTATTTCTCTATTGCTCCTGGTTGGAACCTTTCAGGCCATCGGACATCTTGAAGTGAACGACCGAAAGCTCTACACCCAGCGCTGGGGGCGGTGGGTTGTCGGCGATCGTACGTCCTTCGCGGATGTCTATCTGATGATGAGGATGAGGAAGATGACGACAATGACGATGGATCGCTTGGTTCCGGCGTGCGATTACGAGGACGTCGGCCAGGTTCTCGAGAACTCTGTCGTCGTCTCTCGTTGTTGTCTCGGCGCTGATCTCCATCATCGTCGTCATTATGGCAACGTCCTCGACCAGAATCGCCCAGCACCCGCCGCTCGCGATCGTCGTGATCGCGGCGGTTGTGGCGGTTATCTCAGTCTCGGTCTTCGCTCGAACGGCCTCCTCGTTCTTCGTTATCGTGACGCCGTGAAGAGACGCGATGTCAGGAACGGTTCTCGTCGACTCGTGTGCGTCGCGCCTCTCGGCGGCCATTCAGGTGATCGCGGAGATCACCGGTGCCGCGAGGTGGAGGGGTGGCTCGATGAGGCGATTCCCGCTGTTCAGGGTTTTCACCATTAGCATCGCCAGTTGGTGGCTGTTTCGGGTGCGCTGCAGTGGCGGCCTCTTCGAACGCGTTGCTGAGGTTGGTCACTGATTCCCATAACCGCTTTGTCCATCGTGCGAGATCGTCGTTCAGAACGGGGTCGTAGGGAGTTTCCCTCAGTATTGCGTTGACGGCTCTAATGTGCTGGGCCGGTGTAATCACTTGATTCTCCGCTTCCGCATTGGTGCATGCTGACGTGCCGACATCGTCGATAGCCAATACCTCACGCGGCATACTCGTTGTCGATGAACCATAGTCTTCGAGCAGGTGCAAGACTGATGGTTCGTGGGGATCGATGTCGATTACTCCAACAAATCGATCTGAAATCGGCGTCGCTCCTTGTTCCTTGTCCTCATCCCTGAAGGGAACGCGTGACTGCTGGACCTTAGGAGGTGGCGTCTTCATGGCGCTGAGAAAGACCTTGCAGCTCGAGAGGTTGTGATTCTTTGTCTTGTGAATAGGACAATAGACATCACGAGTTGGAGAGGTACGCTGAATTCCATGCTCTTTGCAGGCACGAATTTCAGCATGGACGTTGAGGAAAACCCAGCAGGCTTGCAAGGTGTGTTTTCTGGTTTTGTGGATAGGACACCAGGACCTTGTCACCTCGGAAGTAATCCTCGTCGGCTCATGATTCCTGTCGAAAAGACAAGGCTTAGCCGCACTAGGATCTCGAACTCGGATGTTGTCGATGTTCCGATCTCCGCTTCGGCAGGAGGATCCTTCGACATGGAGTCGCCCCGGGTTGTAGCCACTGCGTTCTCGTTTCCGGTCATTGGCGGACTAGCTGAGATCGGCACTGTGGTGTAAACCGGAAAGACGATTTCGCCGACTTGAGTCCACACCAGTATTGTTGAAGTAGGAACTCTTTGGTTGAGGTTGGTATTGACGCTATTGTCGACGAAGCTGGATGTCATAGTAGTAGAACCTTGAGCACTAAGTCCCCCTACCTGGCGCACCACTGTCGACGGGGGATACCCGTAGACCGGATATAGAGGGTATTGGGGTACGCTGGTACGAGGATCTACGTAATACGACATCGAGCAGGCAGAAAACAAAGATTATACTGGTTCAGGCCCCTTGATAGGTAATAGCCCTAATCCAGTTGATATGGGATTATATGGTGAAAACCACAGATTACAAAGAGAATAGTGGAACTCGATGATACCGACGAGATCGTAGTCGAGTTGATTTGACTAGATCTCCCGGCGACTTGGCTCCTGTAAGCTCCGGCTTCGTAGGCTGTGGTGGATGTGTTGGTGGTAAGATTCGATGCCTTAGGTCCTCCCGGAGGGTCCCTTTTATACCGCAGGTCAACTGGTCTCCAAGTAGGACTCGGAGACATCGGACCCGACACGATACAATGACGACCCAGTTCTATCCGAGTAGGACTCCTTACATCTGTGGACTCCATAATGGAATTCCTTAACTTATGCCGAAAACGTCCGTATACGCGCAAGCATACCATATCGATATGTGACGTATATCGAAGGGTAGAGAGTATACCTTACCCGTAACCCTGACAACCACCACCACACATCGACAACATCTACATAAAATCAAGAAAAGAGTTAGCACCAGACCAGCCGTTGCTAGACAAAAAAGGAGCTACAGCCAAACCGTTCAAAATCAAACCCTAATAGACGAGCCCCTAGCCTTCTAGATGTTGTCCGGACGAAAAGGATATAGAAGGAGAGGGCAAGAGAGAAGAAAGATCCCTCTCCCTCGGATAGACCCACCGATCGGCTGCCATCCAGCGGCTTCGCATAGACTGTCTAGGACCAGTTTTGGCAAAAGGGGGCCTCCTAGATGACGTCTCCATAGAGAAGAGCGACACTATTGTCCCTCGTGGTCTCTGTCAGGGTTATGAATAAGGCATACCTTCTATACTTGGAGTCGAGAGATATACGGATACGGTATACCTTCAAGTATACGAAAAGGTTACTTTTGGGTTAAGGAAGTCGGTGGGCTTCTCAGGAAATAATCTCTACAAATTGAAGGGGTCAGAGTCCTATTCGGAGAACATAAGGATTTTTTCATACTGTGTGAGGTCTGTTGTCTCCGAGTTCTACTTGGATATTAAGGTGATCTGTGGTATAAATGTAGGCCCCCCGAGGGTACAGATCATCACATCTTAGTGCAATACACCCACCATAGTAGGAGCAATCCAGAGGACTTGAAGCCAACTCGCCGATAGATCTCATCTAGTTGTTCTCGATAGGGATCTCGTCAGTAATCTCAGGATTCTATTGTTCTCTATTGTACTCTATGGTTTTTTTTCATAATCCCATATAAAATGGATTAAGGCTATTACCTTACGAGGGGGCCTAAACCAGTATAATCTTTGTTTCCTGTGAGCTTGATGTCGTATCAACATACCTCAATACCCTTAGAATACGGTCGGCGGGTATCCCCCCGTCGATAGTTTCAAGGAGATCTAAGATAAGGTTTTCACTAGGAAAGAAGATGGACATCTCGACAACTCCCCCAAGAGTGAATACGACGCCTAAACCGTGTCGTTGCTGACCCGACAAGACTGGGCTAGGCTTTCACCCACCTCCTGTCCCCTGTCGATCTACTGCTACCGCTCCATTGCACCACCACCAGTCACCCATCATAAGCGCCACCGACACCTCCCGTCGACCATCCTCCGCATGCCTCCACATGCTAACATGACACACATGCCATCACTAGCCTCTCGCCGCTAGTCATGCATGCATCCTCGCCGTTGCCCGTGTCAACCTCCCGTGTTGCTGGTCTTCCTATCATCGTTAGAGTCAACCTCCAGCATTCGTCAGCCTCCCTGTTGTCACCTGCATTGGCCACACATGACCTCCCGCTGTTGCCACGCGAGTGGTGTCGGTAGTGCTGTAGCCACTCCCAGCAGCAACCTCCGGGAAGAGGAGCAACCACTGCCACACCTAGTAACAGCTGCTCCTCCACACACACCGTCACTAGAGGCCATCACCATGTGCTTCTCCCTCACCACCGTCATTTGTCATCACCGAGAGCTACCTCGTCGGGGGAAGCTAGAGGGAGCTATGCTGGAGGCCGCTGGATTTGGCAGCTCCCGCTGCCACCTCCGAGTCCACTTCTCGCCACCCTCTGCCATGCCGCCTAGTACCCCCACCCTTCTCCACCATGCCGTGCGCTAACCTTCACCTCGCCAGATCCGTGAAAAGGGCTAGATATGGACAGTGCCACCTCCTTCTTCCCGGTTGCTTCAGAGCCCATATTAACGCGACGTTCTCGAGGAGGAAAAGAGTTCGGCATCATCTTCCTTGCAACCACGTGGCTTGCTGACGGGTTGCTCCGGTGGTGGCAAGGGGCAGAGGTGCGGGGGTGGCTGCGTCGCTCAATTGGTTGTCTCCTGTGTCATCCCGGATTATGATCACACGGGTCCTCTACTTAGTGAGCCATATGCCACTTAGAGGGTGGTAAGTGGGCTGCGAGCTAGAGCGTATATTCTGGTCCCGTTCATTTCTTCAAGAGTTGGATGAAGATAAAAATTTTTGTGACACGTTTTTCAAACCGCTAAATGGTACGTTTCGTACGAAAATTTTCTATATGAAAGTTGCTTTAAAATATCATATTAATATATTTTTAAAGTTTGTAATAATTAAAACTCAATCAATAATACGTTAATACTATATCATTTTACGTTAATACCATATAGTAGTAGTTTGGCACGAGAAAATTGTTCCCCGATCGTGCTTATTCAAATCTACGGTGAGAGCTAACACTACGTGGAAGAAGAACCGGACGTCGGATGCGGCGTCATTGCAGGATCGGCGGCGACGCCGGGGGCGGCGTGCTGTGGCTGAGCCGCGCCGCAGTTCGCGGACCACACGCCCCCCCACCCCCCGCCTGCCGCCTGGCCCGGCTGCCGCCAAGTGTCCGCCGCCGCGTCGTGTCGCGTCGCGTCGCTCGGCCCGCCTCGCCTCGCCTCGCCACCAATATCTCCCCCCAACCTCGCCGCGCAACGCGCACCCCCCGCGTCGAACACCCGAGGACCGGGAGCCCGCGATGGCGATGGCGATGGCCTGCCTCAACCCTCTCGCGCTCTCCCCGCGCCTGGCCTACGGCGGTAGAGCGGCCCCGCGGCGCTGCTGCTCGGTGGTGGTGCCCACATCCTCCGCGCGCGCCGCGGCGGGTCGCTGCAGATGGCGGCTCGCGGCGGTGGCGGAGGAGCCGCAGGCCGTGCGGCAGCAGGAGCAGCAGCAGCGGACGGAGGGGTCGGGTGAGGCCGGCGCGGAGGCGGCGGCCGACGCCTCGTCCAAGCTAGTTCTCGTCGTCGGCGGGACCGGCGGCGTAGGTAAGGAGACCCACATCTCTAGCCCTTCTCTCCATAGCTTCAGTGTCACCTTCTCTCCATTGGAGTGTCACTACTGTGTGAGTATATTTTTTTTTTCACAAAATATTTCGTAGCATTTTACTATGCCATTATCTGATTATGTCAAGCTCATCATGCTGGTAATTCTTTTAGTTAAGCGTACATTTGCTCTGCATTTTAAGTGATAAATATATGTTCTGCAGTTGTCTAGATATTGATTGAGCAGATCTGTCGAAACTAGATTTCGGCAATAATAAAAGGGGGTGGCTATCAAGCTCGGAAAGTGTATGGGTTTGGAGACAAAGGATTTATACAGGTTCAGGCCTTCTTATAAAAGAAGTAATACCCTACTCCTGTCCGGGGATGAATCCGCCGAGTGTATTATTGATTGTATGATTCGGGAAAAATCAGCATATGCCCCTAGAGGCGCCCGGACCCCCCTTATATACTGGAAGGAGTCCGGATTACAAAAGATAATCTATATTCCTAACGGAATATGAAGATAGAGGTAAAATACAGTCGTAACCGACTAAGTCTCAGGGTGTTTCCTTGATACACAAGTTAAGAAACAAACCCGAGATACAGATAAGATATTCTATCTACATTAAGTATCCGGTACCCAGTTCGAATACCATCGCCGTGTAGATATGGGATACCCATAATCTCCACAAGATCCTTGCAGGGCAGTTGGTGGTGGCATCTTTACTGAGCAGGAACATCAAGACAAGGTTGTTGCTAAGAGATCCTGCAAAGGCAGTGACCCTATTCGGCGAGCAAGATGAGAGCGTATTTCAGGTGATCTTACATCCAGAGAGCTTGAACATTCTATTTCCTTCTGTGTAAATTTTGCTCATGTAAATTGTTACTTCATGGAAGGCTTACAAGGCTGACACGAGAAATGCTGCAGAATTGGATCCAGAAATATTTGAGGTTCATTTTCTTGTGTTTTATTGTTTTGAAGCTGAAATGGTAGAGCGTTATGGGCTTTCTATTTATGCATGATTGAATAAAGCAAAATATAGGGATCTCTTTTCACAGGGAGTTACGCATGTCATCTGCACTACTGGAACTACAGCATTCCCTTCAAAGCGCTGGGATGGGGATAACACTCCTGAACGTGTTGGTACGTACTGAGTAAAGTTCTTCAGTTCTTGTTGAAACCATCTATTTGTTTGTTCTACGTACGTAAATGGAACAGTGATGGTTGATCTTGGGGGATGGATGATCCTTGGGTAAAGTCTTTCAATCCCCTATGGACAAACTAAGAATTCAACTGTGGCAGTCGCGGAGTGCTAATAAGCTGCTTATGATATTTCCAGATCTTGGCATTCCCATTGACAGAGTTTAATATGTACCTTTTGTTGATCATGATCATGCACACTACAGTTAAATTCATTCCCTGTGCATTGATGTTAATGATATTTCTTATAAGTTATAACTGATATAACCTGGTCTATCTTTGTCACGCATAATGAGCTAGCAACATCAGCTATGTGCCTATGTCTTGTTGTGTTTTTTTTTTTCTGAACACACACCATTTTCCCTTTCTAGATTGGGATGGCACCCGTAATCTGGTGAGCGCCATGCCACGGACAATCAAGAGACTGGTTCTGGTGTCATCCATCGGCGTTACAAAATACAATGAACTACCATGGAGGTATACTGCAGAATTTCAACGAAAAACTTTGGTATCTTACAGTTGAACTTCCTGTCAGTCATACTAGTCTCCAAAGTCTAAAGTTGCATGCATTCCATGAGCTATCCTGAAATTTTACTAGAGTTTAATGAAGAATTTATATCCTCAATATACTTATGAGTTTAATTTAGCAATGGTTTACTGTGAGACAATGTACTTGCTGTATAAGATTTGCATGCTTATGCTTCCAAAACCCATCTTAATCTTGAATTTTAGTTCATTAAGTCTAGTGTCTGCTTCCTCAACTTCTATTGCGTCACAATTTTAACCTTCACTCATGCTATGCATTTTTCAGTATCATGAATCTGTTTGGTGTGCTTAAGTACAAGAAGATGGCAGAGGACTTTGTCCAGAACTCAGGCATACCTTTCACCATCATAAGGTATTGTGCACATAAATCCTTTTCATGGCTCACAACGGATACATTTTTATGACCCAATACTAGCTGCATTGCAGGCCTGGGAGATTAACCGATGGACCCTACACTTCTTATGACCTTAACACACTTCTTCAAGCTACTGCTGGAGAAAGACGGGCAGTTGTCATGGGCGAAGGTAACTTATACTAGTTGTTATTAATGGATTTCTGTTAAGCTATCTTATTCTTGCAACTCTTCATCACTACCCCTATTAGGTGACAAGCTTGTGGGAGAAGCAAGCAGACTGGTGGTGGCAGAAGCCTGTATCCAAGCTTTGGATATTGAATTCACAGAAGGACAAATATACGAGATCAACTCGGTGAAGGTATTTATGCCTGGTGTTTGATATTTCCTCGTGCGTGTGTGTGTGTGTGTTCTTTTTGAAAAATGGCCTTTGGTTACGTTGAAAACTAAATATACAAAAGCTGTCTAGTTACGTTCAAACTAAATTATTTATCTTTTGACTGAAGTGTCAATTATCACTTCAGGGCGAAGGACCTGGGAGCGACCCAGAGAAATGGAAGGAGCTGTTCAGAGCTGTTCAATGAAATTAATGGCATTAGCTCACCCTCATCGTGATGTATTTTGTTCATGTATAGTGTACTTTAGTGGAATTCCATTGAGGTAGTTTAGTCCATTGTAGTTAACTAGTAGTGTACAATTCATATCATCATGTAATGAGATTTTAGCAATTCTAATCCCAAGACCGCATTGGTGGTAATTAGATTTGGTACTACCACTGTCCCAAAAGGATTTCATTTCTAGCCATGCATTTGGGCAAGTATTAGGTGTATATTGGGCAGGTATTAGGTGCATAGTCAAAAGTAAAATCTTTTACGGGCAAAGGTAGGTAGTAAAATGAAGTAATAACTTTTTGGCTATGTATCGGATATATTCTTTTCCAGACATATAGCTAAAAGTTGCAGATGGAGAGAGGTGTAATTGGCATTCACTTCTAAAGGGTCAAGCAAATACTCCCTCCATCCCATAAAAATAGCTATGATTTAGATTTATTTTTTTATGGGACGGATGGAGTACATCATTTTGTTCTTAGAGTTGTATTTTTTTTCAATTTTTGGGTAACTTCTGGTCGGTTCTAACGGGAGGATTTATGGGAAAAAAAAACTGAACTAAATATTATAAAGCTAACAAGTAGGCATAGGTTAAAAGAAAAGTTATCTTAGCGATCCTAATGTTGAAAAATAATTTTCTTATAGAAATTATACTTTTTAATGTAAAACTATTACAACGTTAGATTTTTATTCCTTTCATTCTAACATGTTAATTTCTAAGCCTTAATTAACATCTAAAGCTGGAGGTTCCACGAAGATGGACCAGTTTGGCACAACTTCAAGTCTAGCTCCACTTTTTCGTAATCTGGAGTACAGCCAAATGGCTTCAGCTCCACCAAAATAAATGGTAAGAGTGAAGCATGTTGAAATATTCTTATAAAATAAACTAGAGAAATTAAATTGGGCTTTGCGAAATTCAGAGTAAATTTTTAAAGTTAAATCCTTAAAAAACATGCCCTCACCACTACGGTCTACGGGAGAGGGAAGAGACAGAAACCCCGAAACCCCCCAAAGGTTCCCACTTCCTCCCACCCGCCCAAACCCATCCTCCGCCGCCAACGCGCCGAGAGCAAAAAAAGAGAAGCACCGGGATGCTGTACATCGTGGGGCTCGGCCTCGGCGACGAGCGCGACATCACCGTGCGGGGGCTCGACGCCGTCCGCCGCTGCGCCAAGGTCTACATGGAGGCCTACACCTCCCTCCTTTCCCTCGGCCTCGACCCCTCCGCGCTCTCCAACCTCGTGCGTTCCCCCCCCCCCCTCCCCCTCCCCCTCACCCTCCATGCCCGCCACCTGTTCGACCAAATGCCTGTTCCCGCTCACGCGCCATCGCCCCACTGTTTTCTTGCGCAGGAGAAGATGTATGGGAAGGAGATCACGGTGGCGGACCGCGAGATGGTGGAGGAGCGCGCCGACCAGATGCTCCGCGAGGCCGCCGACGCGGACGTCGCCTTCCTCGTCGTCGGCGACCCCTTCGGGTAATGGTTTGCTCTCTGAGAGCCTTCTGGGTACTGTAAACCTTTGCTCTTGTGCGACAGCTTTTCGGTTTATGTCCTGTTTGAATGACAAATTGCAGCGCAACTACACACACTGATCTGGTGGTTCGCGCCAAGAACATGGGGGTGGAAGTGAAGGTGATCCACAATGCGTCCGTCATGAATGCAGTTGGAGTTTGCGGATTGCAACTTTACCGCTACGGGGAGACCATCTCTATACCTTTCTTCACGGAGACATGGAGGCCGGACAGTTTCTATGAGAAGATTCAGAACAATCGACGGCTTGGACTGCACACACTTTGCTTACTAGGTTTGTCATGCTTGCTTGATCATTTATTTCAGTGTAGTCAAAGCTCGGCATTCTTAAGGAGAGAGGCAATTGAACTTGAATGGCTGCTAGTGGCTGACTTCTTTTACGGTTAACACTTCCTTACAAATTACAATCATGGTTATGGATCTTGGTTCTTATATTGGCAAATACAATTGATATTCAAAATGTAATAACCAAAGTAAACTTTTAATTTATATGACAGACCCTGGATTGACAGGTAACCACTATTTCCTGTAATTTATTGATATCAACAGCTGATCCTGAACTGTCAAATGAACTTGTCAGGTGTAATTTTGTACATGCAACACTTCATACGTCTAGCCTAAATTTATTGACGCTTGATAATCTTTATGGTTTAGTACTTTCTTTTCAAGATTAATCTTGTGCTACTTTCACTTTTTCCCTGTTACTGCAAGCGGGCTTGCTTGACTGTTCCTTATTAAAGAAAAACTGTGGTTTGATTATCCAATGCAGATATTCGTGTTAAGGAACCAACGCTTGAGTCTTTATGCAGGTAAATTGCATGATTTCCTGTCTAGTGTCAGTAGTGTGCAGTGCAGAACTACAATTTCTTCTTAGAATTAGCTATGTGCTAGAGATGCTTCATTGCTATGTTCTTTCTTCAAAGAATTGATCAATATTCTGTGCGGCACAAGCAGATTCATCTGTTGAATTTTTATGTTGCCATTTAGGATATATCTATCTTTTGCCATTATATTTTATTTTTATTTCTTTCAGGGGAAAGAAAGTGTATGAACCACCAAGGTTCATGTCTGTAAACACCGCAATAAGTCAGCTTTTGGAGGTGGAGGAACTGCGTGGGGGATCTGGTATTCTCATGGAATCTCTGAATTAATTTCCCAAGTTAAAATGCTCTTGAAAAACAGCTGTTAGTCTGCCTATCTAAGTTTAATGTACCAATCTAAAAAGGGATTTCATTATGCCCTGCAGGGTAACTATAGCTAGATTTTTGGACGTTGCTTACATGTTCTACTTTTCATAGGCCAGTAGGTTTTACTTCTAGATTAGCACTTAAAAATCACTTGTTTCCAGCATATGGCGCAGATTCACTATGCATAGGTGTTGCTCGCCTTGGAAGTGATGATCAGAAGATCGTCGCTGGACCTATGAAGAAACTACTAGATGTCGATTTCGGCCCACCCCTTCACTGCCTTATCATAGTGGGAGAGACGCATCCTGTGGAAGAAGAGATGATAGAATTCCACATGATCAAGTCATGATGAATGAAAGTGCTTTTATGTGAGTTTCACTCCTTTCTTGCAATGAAAAAAAAAAAGCAATACTTGTATGCTTTCATTCGTTACAAAGCAATTTCTACACCTTATATCCTGTGGCTAATGTTGAGTCAATACTCATTTGCCTCCACAATTTTGAATCAGGGCCTTGTAGCTGGATACATGATCCCAGGCTTATAGCTCCCTTGAAACGATACTTCGATGCTTCCGCCCGCCGTGAAAGGTCCACCAGTAGTAGTTTACTGCTCCAATTGTTGCTCATTTTTAAGTTAAACTGGGATCAGCTGTTGTTCTTTTTTTGGCCTGATACCGAATACTCTCAAACCAGTATTGAACCTTGTTTACATTGTGTGAGCTCATATTTGAATGTGTTCGTGCATAAATCACCTTGAGATCAATGTTACTCATCAAGAAACGGTTACCGGAACATTAGCTACAATTGTGGAGTATAAACTCGTATGAATGAATTGTGGTAACCCGTAGTACGATTTCGTGTCGTCCGATCTTCTGTGCCGTGTTTCAGATCCATCTTTTGTTGTCTCACAGCTCAGTCTGAGTCTGGGAAGCCTTCCAGAGTTCCAGTTGAAGAGGATGAACAGTCACAGAAAAAAAAAGCAGGATTTTTTTTTTTTTGCTTTATCGTTCGTTGCAAATTACATGCTTGATGATGCTAATTCTCTTCACCGGATAGGGGTGTACTGCTCCATCTGCAGCTGGTGCAGCGCGGCCTCGGAGCCGAAGCTGTGGCGTCCCGGCGACCTCCGGGACCGGGACCTCGTCGGCGTCATGGGCCCCTTCACCCGCGGCGACCGCTGCGCCGCCGCCGGCCGGCTGGACCTCGCGAAGACGATGTCGCTGGCGATGGACGGGATCGGCGACATGGAGGGGATCGGCGACAGGAGGCGGTCGGCGAACGGGAAGCACTGCTCCGAGTAGGCGTCCGCCGCGCCGGCGCCGGAGCGCTCCTTGGGCGTGCTCATGGACCGGAACTTGGCCTTGGCCGACGCCGTCGACGCCATGTACCCCGGGAACGCCGCCGCGCCGCCGCCGTCGTCGTCCCTCGCCGGCGTGCGCCTCCCGGCGCGGGTGAATGACCGCCTCGCCGAGTACCCGAGCTGCCTGTCGGCGTCGTCGTCGTCGCCGCCGACGCAGGCGAGCCTGTCGGCCCTGGACCTGGACCGGAGCACCGGCGGCGGCGGCGGGCGTTCGTCGTCGTTCATGGCGGCGCCGGCGGCGTCCCTGCTTGGAGATTGGTGCGCGACGGGGATGTCCTTATCGAACGGCGGCTGCGACCCGACCCATTCCTCCAGCCAGCTCCACCGCTGGTTCAGCGTCTCCATCTCCTCCCGGCTCATCGGCTGCCTCCTGACCCCGACCTTCTCCTGCGCCAAAAATTAACAGCTCTCGATCAGTCACCGACGAGTGGGCCCAGACAGCCGGATCGCGGGGGCCCCGCGCTGTCAGTGGCTGGGGGACGTGACGTCATGGGGGAGGTGAGGTGACGTACGCTCTGGTGGAGCGAGGCGTACTGGAGCGCGCGGACGCGCTTGAGGGCGGCCTCCTCCCTGCTCCGGCTCATGGCGCTCATCTCCTCCTTCGACAGTGTGCTGCTGTCCCACCCCTTGCTCAGCTGCTGTTCCTGCACAACAACAACAACCACCAATCGCCCTTCAGATTCTTCAGTAAAATGAAATCCATTCACTGGCTCGCCCACCGAAATATGCCAAGCTCTCTCTCTCTCTCTCTCTCTCTCTCTTTTCCCTCTTCTTTTTACTGTTACTATGAGCATTGGCACTTGCAGGCATGGATCGATGGACAGACAAGTATAGGAAAAGAAGAGCCAGATTACAGCAGAAACAGCAGCTGATGGTGCAAAGCAAAATGTTGTGAGTAGTACTACTACTACAGTGCTACACTGGACAGTGCTACATTGGGCGCAAGAACAGAAGCAACGAAAGAATCGGGGCATATGCATGTGCATGTGTCCTGGCGATGGCCGCGCACGACACCGACGTGACGCGGCCGGGTCGCCGTCTGCCGTGCCGCCACCCCGCACCACATGCCGCGCATGTGCCCAGCAAATCATTCGCACGTTCCTACTACCTAGCTATAGCAGCTAGCTGGTGAGAGTGTTCTTTTACTACTAGTGTTACTTACGTGGACGGCGGCGGCGGCGGCGTAGTACAGCTCCCGGCCTCGCCGGAGCAGCGCGTCCATGCCGTCGGGCGCCGGCGAATTAGCGGCGTTGTGGTCGCCGCCGGCGGCGGCGGCGGATGAGGCCCTGGCGCGCTGCCGCGCCTGGATCTTCATGAGCGACTCGAGGCCGCGCAGCGTCGCCGCCGTCTGCCGCCGCACCGCCTGCCCCCGGATCAGCGCCTGCAGCCGCACCAACCCCTTCAACGCTCGCAACGCCCTCCTCGCCTGTAAAAAAACAAAAAGAAAAAAAAAAGGATTAAAGCAACAGAAAATGTATTGATACGAAGACATTTTTGGTGAGCGACATCAAATTCACTGAAAATTGGACGAATTATCAAATCGCTACGAAATCCATTGAAAATGGGGGCTATAAATTTTGAAGGTTTGAAGCAAAAAATTTTAGTTGTTTGTTTTACTTACGAGGTATCCACGGTAGACGGATTGGATCATAAGGGCGGCGTGTTCGTGGCCGTACGGCGTCGGCGTCGTCGTCGTCGCCGGCGCCGGAGCCAATGCGGCCGTCTTCCCGGTGAGGCGGACCACCTCGGCGGCGGCGTGCGCGGCGGCGACGGCGGCCTCTGCGGCCGCCGCGGTGGCGAGCGCGACCGCCATCGCGTGCTTGCTCTGCTCGTCCTCCGCCTGCCTGATCTGCTCCTCCTCCACCGCCGGCGCCGGCGCCGGCAGCGCGAACGAGTGCTGCGTCTTGAGCTTGCCCGCGAACATCCACCTCTTGCTCTTCACCTTCTGATCAATAAATCAATCAACAACACCACCTCCTCGTCAGCTCAACTCATCAATCAATCAAACGAATTCTCGCAAAAATTTCGGCAAAATTTGTGGCAAGAATGAATCGGTGCAAACCTTGTCCGGCTTGGGCTTCTGCTTCGGCTCGGAGACGAAGAGCCTCTTGATGCGCTCGAGCCATCCCCTCCTCTTCCTCTCCATGTCGCAGCTAAGCTTCGTGCAAGCTTAGCTACTAACTAGCCTTACTACACCTCGTCAGTGTCTGAACCGAGCAAAATCTGAAGCAAGAAACGCATCGTCATTACCAGAAATGCAGATGAAATAATAGAAATGAAAAACAAGAATTGGGAGTAGTAGCTGGCATGTCTCAATCGTAAGATCCAAGGAAATGTTGACTAAAGCTTCGGCAGGACGAGGGCACTTTGCTGCCAGCACAAGCTACTGTTCGTCAGTGGTGACGGTCACAGTGTCCGAGCAAAACGAAGAAATCAAGAAGCGGAAAAAATAAAATTCAGAGCAGGACTGCTGCTGCATTGGATTCGGTTGATGATTTGCCGTTGCATTTGTCAGTAATCTGAAGTTTTAACAGTTTTTAATCACGCAGTGGGAGCCATTTAGAGGCTAAAGCCAAGTGAGTGATTAGCTGGGTGCTTTCTTGTGTCACCTGCTAAAATTCCAAATAGTAGTACAAATCAAGCGAAAAACACCAACCGGAATGCCTAGTTTTGATGCGACAAACCGCAGCTATAAGCTGTAATGTTCAGAGTGTGACGGGTTTCTATCTGAATCATCTCATGGCAACTGAACAAAGAACCAACCATAACACTACTAGACAGCTACATGCGTCGCATCTGAATTTACTCTGAAATGACTGCACCAACGAAAGAAGGAAGAAGACTGAAGAGGAAAGTGAAAACAATATCGAATGAATCAACCACGAGACCCAAAAGATGAACTGAAAATCAAGTGATCCAAGATGAGAGTACCTTGCAGAGTAATGGTAGGGATGCTAGCTCTGAGTGATCCAAGAACTCTCTCACTTTCAGCAGCTGCTTGTGGAGGAGGTGGTGATGACACAGACAGGAGGCTCATGTAAGGCAGATCATGCTCTGCCTGCCATATGAGGGAGGAAGAACCAATTTCCAGTGGAAAGCCAGCAGGTCATGCCTCACCATCTCAGAGAGAACCCCACATGATGACATGAATCAAGAGCGCTCTCTCTCTCTCTCTCAATTTATACGGAGTACAAGATGTACATTTGCAAAGAGACCTTCAGATTTGGCAAGGTGTGAAACGCCCTGCTTCCTCTGCCATGTCTGATTACCTCAAGACCCCTCTCAACTTAAGTACTCCTACTTAACATGTGAGCTTGCCGCTAAACTGAGTTGTTGACAGTGAGAAAAGATAATACTCCCTCTGTCCCATAATATATGTGATGTTGAAGGAAATAGTACTAGAAAATGTCACATCCCTCTAAAATCTTTTAGATTATGAGACAGGGGAGTACTATCAAAGTACATGTGTGATGTGTGTATTCCTTTTACATTGTATACACAAAGAAACCAAAAATTAGGTGATATTTTACAGAAACCAAGGGCTAAAAGATGCACTTTTTTTTTCAGCCCGTTGATGCAGCCTGCAGCGTGTGGTACATTGGTACTAGAAAACAACAAACGGAACGGGATGGTGGCCACTTGAGAAGTAAACAAAAAACGAAATTAAAAGGGGGATCAGGCAAGGCAGGCTGGTCCGCAGCAGCCGCAGCAACGCATGAATGAAAGTCGTTTTTGTGGGCGCACTGCACTGCCGCCACAGCTGAGCGCTGTCTGAATGAAGAATTGAAGATCCGATCAAAGACCCCCAAAAGCCGAAAAACAACACTTGCTTAAGGACACCCATCAGCAGTGGACCTCCCAACCACATGTCTCTCTGCTTAAGCTTAACACTAGTGCCTGTGACTGAGAGAGAGAGAGAGAGAGAGATTTGGAGGAAGTGACATCTCTCCAGTCCAAACATCTTTTAAAAAGAAATTACGAGCGTGTTAGAAATTAAACATAAAATCTTAAAGTTGAAACCACACACTCTTTGTCATTGCACTACCAAGTGCATCTTGTGACTGTGATCAAACACACAACAGGGAATGTCACATAAAACATTATCACATTTGATCAGTCTTCAGAAAAAAAAGTTTAAAAAATAAGAGGAAATTCCTACTTTTTAAAAGGGCCCATCGAAATTATATATTTTTATAAATTATAGACACCGTTGTGTTTCACGGGGATTCGATGGTTTGCCACTCTTAAAGGATGATATGGTCCACATGTTATTGACTTAAAGGATCATACATGACATTGTCATGCGGTGGTGATGGTAGCAATGTAAAGGGTGGGCTGGGTGGCAAACCATCGAATATGCCTTTTATTCGTCCGTGTATTTAATCGTGACTTCGATTTACGATCAGACGGTCGCGATGTTGGATCATCGCAAAAAGGTGTTGGCTACGTGGGTGATTATTACTCTTTATCCACAAAAGAGGGGAGGATGGCCTCCTGGACGGTCAGGAATCTGTGATGAACCCTAAAGGGGGGCACTTTGCTCAATTGATGGCAAGAAATAGTACCATTTGACCTGTTTTCCACAGGACAAAGGTTGGACCTTCAGATCCAATCCACCATTGGTTGCATCTTGCATTGCATGGAAAGAAAGGCAAGGCAATAATGCCAGCAACCATGTGGGCAGGCCATGCTCCTCCACTGATGAGAGGAGAGGAGAAGAAGAGGAGACCATTAGACCATTGCCAGCCTTTCATGCACACAAAGCCTAGATATCTGAACAATTATTAAAGCCATCTTAACATTCAGAAAAGGAAAAATGCTACTACTACTACTACTACCTCTCACTCTCTGAGATGCCATGCTAGTGATGCTGCCACAATCAATTCAATTAACCTTCCATAAGCTCAACTGTAGATCTTGGATTATGCAGAGCAAGAGGAAGTAAAGTAAACAGTGGAATTGCATAATGTGGACAGTGTTAGGTGAATATATGTTATGTCCTGCTTTGATCTTGCATTGCTGCAGCTCTGTGTAGTGTACTGCTAGTAGGCCATTTAGGGGTGGTCATATGAGCTTACCCTTTTTGCACTTTTGTCAAGGTTAAGCTGTAACAATTGTTGCACTCATCACTCAGATGGTAACCTACTGATAAACAATACATTACTGCCACTTAATGTAATGCCAGATCATTGGTAAGTATAGGAGTAAATACTAATTACTGTTGGGTGGCCAGATGAATCATCAGCTTCTTCAGAAAGCAAAGACAGGCTTTACTCACTTATCCCTTTCACTACTGCAGTAGAATTCAATCAGATCAGTAATACTTCAGTCTTCAGTCACTGTGCCCTGCACATGTTTATGACCTGCATCTGCATGATATGGATCACATATCTCATCTCACACAAACATCCCCAGGAACATGTTGCAGTGTTTTTTTTTCTGCAGAGATGAGTTGTTTGCATGTGTACAGGAGTCGAAGGGACCAAGACTTTTTGCAGGCTCCCTGCCAAAGATTCTGCATATGCATATGCATTGCCAGCCAAAATGTGAAATTCAGCCAGGGCATGGAATCAATCGAAGTGGATAGAATAGAAATCGGTCTGGTTTTTTAAGTTGGATTGGCTCCAAGATCCATGGGAAAACTTGGGTTGACTTGGGAGCTAATTAAGCTGGAAGAAGTGTTTTTACAAATGGTTAAGCTTGTATTGAGATCTTAACCAGCCACAGTTTTTTTACTGTGCGTCTGCACACCCTGCAAGCAAGCATGAGTAATAATACTACTACCATGCTTGGGCTAGTGATCTTAGTACTAAAATGTTGAGGTAATTACACAGCCTTTGAGTCATAGGCCTGTGTATTACTGATTGTTAATACCATGCTTATATATTATCCTCCTTATTGTGCACTTTCTGTTACAGTCTGCTTGGACAAACTCCCAAGGATTGCATGTACCTTCACAATGATTGTCTGAATAATGTAATTAGGGAGCTACTACTATACGTAGGCAGCTTAGCTGCAGCTCACTCGATGTGAGAGTTAATCTCTTGGTTAAGACCGACCTAGGGTTCAAATTCCTCGGCAGACTGCATGGATCTTTAGAAACAAACTTGATTAATTTACTTGAGCAAATATCCGGATCTTGTCTTCTCATTGTGCCCTTGATCTATCACATCGTTTGGCATATGTTAGCTTATCAGCGACAAAAATAATTTATGGATAGAACTTCTATAATGTGTTCTTAACGGTTTAAGAGTTCATGTTGAAAATAAAGCACGTTGAAAAAACCTCCAAATCAGCTTCAAAATTAAATTTTAACAGTGGCTTGTAAGCGGAATGACAGGGAACCATAGGCCCTGTTTGGATCCTTCGGGTTATTAAATAGCCCTCCAAAATCTTGCTATTTAGGAGTATTAAACGTAGATTACTGATAAAACTTATTCCATAACCCCTGGGCTATTTTGCGAGACGAATCTAACGAGGTATATTAATCCATGATTTGCTACAGTGATGCTACAGTAAACATCCGCCAACCGTGGATTACTATACCTCGTTAAATTCGTCTCGCAAAATAGCCTAGGAGTTATGGAATGAGTTTTGTCATTAATAATCTACGTTTGGATATCTTTAAGATCAACAAATTAAACCAAGATTATTACTAGTATGTCAGTCTGCGATGGAATATAGTCAGAAGTGGATGCCACAAATTTCCTTTGGCGTCTCAACAAAAAGACCATATCCCTGTACACTACGTTGCTTTTGCCTTTAATTTTTCTTTTCGGTGGGAGCAGGAGCTACTAACTGCTTACTACTTCAACTGGTAATTTAGCCAGATGGAGCACTAAAACGGCGTTAGTACAATCAGGATCTGGAGAGGAGAGAGAGAAATAGAGACAAAGAGTCAAATAGTACTTCGTCCGTTTGAGCCATCGTGTCCTTCGTTGGCTGTCAGAATTGAAGGCCTGAAGCTTAAGATTGGACACGACTTTAATTTTGCAGGTTAATTCGGGGGTGTGTGGGACAGAGGGGCTAAACTTTAGCCTATTTGAAAAAAAAAAAGCAACACGTGTATTCCTTAATTACTGAATGATTGGATTCAGAACCACAAGACAGCAAAGGGAATGTATATGTAAAAACACTTCCTGCTGTATGATGTCGAGGAATCAGGATCCTTTGCATTTGACATTAGGAGAAATGAAGACCATCCAATCAAGATCAGAGGAAACAGTTTATGCGCTATAGTAAATCTACTACAGTGCACTGATTTATTATGCTCCTCACATGAACAATGCACCTCCGTATTACTGCAGAGGATCCGGATCCGATGTTCTTAAAGCTTTATATCCTCTCCTATCTGGTCCATCGAAATTTTGGTTGTTTTATAAGTGTCTAAACAGTAGATAGTCCCTCTAATGTAGGATGCAAAGAGACGAGTAAGTTTTACTGGATTTATGTAGGTGAATCATGTTTGATGCAGAGGAGCAAAGCCAATAATATAACACTGGTGTCGCTGATAAAAGCCACAAGAATTCAGGAAAAGAAAAAGGCTGAATTTTGGATGCGGTGAGAGCCTGAGAGGGCCACTCACGTCGATCAATCGATCGATGGCAATGCATGATATGCAGCGGCGTGGCCGTTATGTTCCCCAACCACAGGGTATGCACAGGGAAATAACATCACATGGCTGCCTGTCTCTGCCTCACTCGTTTCTCTGTAGGACACTCATGAATGGATGAGTCTTCTAACATAAAATCAGAGGTACATTGTCACTGATATGTGGGATCCACAAAGGTTGAGCCCACACATTAATGACCCGTGTTCTTTTGACTTTACGTTAGAGGAGCACGATTCCTCGTGAACATATGTGTGGATCGGATTGAAATCAAATGCAGTTGATATTGTAACTGTACAATGGCAACTGCACACAATCTTAACCATTCGTTTTTTAATTCAACGGCTCTAGATGACTGTTTAAGTACCAAATATACCTCTGCTATAATATTTCGCTACAGTAATCACTGTGTATCCTTTCCGTTCTAGATCATATGATGCACATATAACTGCTTAATTTGCATTTAATAACAACTGCACAGCACAGGATCCTGATCGGCCTGTATCAGTTGCAATCACGCAGTAGCACTGTTCGATTTCAGGGCCGGGGGCTTCAGTTCTTCTGAATCCCTGAAATCTGGCACTGGCATGTTTGCTGTTAATAAGTCTGTGGCTCTGTGCACTGCACGGCCAGCTGGTTGGTTGGCTGGTTAGGTCGGTGCCATGCAACT